GAAATACAGAGCACTAGTAAAATTAAGATGAGTCCCAGTTCAATAAAATCGTTAGCAGGATTCGTCTCACTGCATCTCAAAGGCAGACTTATGACAAAGTACCCGTGAACGACAATAAATTAGCAAGGTGTCCAAAACGCCAGCACTGACACCATTGCTGGGTCTAGATAAGAGCCATCAGTGAAGCAGTTATCTGATAAATACATGATAGTGGAAGGAAACTGTTGTCGAAGGTTAAATTTGGTAATATTGCTTACGTACCCCTCCACCGGTACTTAAAGTACGTGCCATCAGGAGGGGTGGGGGTCAAGGATCATAACCTGGAAATCAATGACATCCATTAACCCGCCTCCCAACTCTCCATTTCTGGAATGTGGATACAAAAGAATAATTAATAACTGCAAATATAAAACGCTATGGTGGATAATAAGAGATCAGAGGAAGTGCGTTGAAGTGTTCAATATATTGAATTTTTTTAAAGTACACGTACGTATTATTTATTATAATCAAGGGGGAAGCGCTAAACCCGGAGGATTATACAGCGCCTAGGGGAGGGATGTGGAAGGCATTCAGGCTTAATTAGGGGAACTGGAGCACAGATCCAATTCCCTAAATCAAGAGCCCCTAACCAACATCAAGGAACCTTCCTTGAGGGGCTACACGTACGTAGACGCGGAAAAAGCTAATTTCTTTCTAAGCTCAGTTATAAAAGGTTTACTATAGAAATAATATTCAGGAATATTCCCTCTATTATTGTTACCCCTTCACGTTGACGCTTCCCACACAAAGGTTTCAGAATATCAATATTGACAGGGATCTTGCCAGGCAGAATGCTGCTTCCTTCGGTAAATACAACTCTATAGACGAATCGAGAAAAAGTATAAACTGTTGAATTCTTTTTATATTTCCCGTCGCGCTTGTGCTTATGTATACGTGTGTATATACATGTGTTAATTATATACGTATAAACCTTGGTAATAAATACCGACAAGTGTTTGCTTACGTGTCTTTCTAAATCAATTATATACGTACGTACGTCTGTATGTGTAATTATATACGTACGTACATGTACGTGTACATGTATATACTTACGTTCTTGTGTGTGTGTCTTTGCCGGGGGGTGGTCTAGTGTGTTCCTGGACCCTCCACAGATAACCGTTATTATAGTGTTAGCTCTGATACGAACCCTGTCATACCTATTCTTAAAGCTTTGTGTGGATCCTGACTACAGGTTTTTTTCCACTTCCTGACCACTAATGCCGAAGAAAAATGTTAATATCCCTCTTAGCTTCTAGCAGCAGCGTCCTCCTGTTAGTGTCCGCGTTTGTAACTGTCGCTGTCCACGCTATCAAATCTAGTATTTTCTGCGTAATTGTGTCACTCCTGGTACTGGTAAAATTTCAACGCAGAAGGCTCGGGAAGGGAAGTCAAAAATTTTCCAAGAAATAGGTCTACAGTGAATGAAGATTGTCATGCATGGGACAGCCCATAGTTACGTCATGCATTTCTGGCTCGTGGCTCACTACCTCGAGGTTATTTCGGGGATCAATACCCCCGCGGCCCGGTCCACGACCAGGCCTCCCGGTGGATCAGGGCCTGATCAACCAGGCTGTTACTGCTGGCCGCATGCAGTCCAACGTACGAACCACAGCCCGGCAGACTTGAGGTATCTGTCCAGTTCTCTTTTGAAGGCAGCCAGGGGTTTATTGGTAATTCCCCTTATGCTTGATGGGAGGCTGTTGAACAGTCTTGGGCCCCGGATACTTATGGTGTTTTCTCTTAGTGTACCAATGGCGCCCCTACTTTTAATTAGGGGTATTTTGCATCTCCTGCCCAGTCTTACTTTCGTAGGGAGTGATTTCTGTGTGCAGATTCGGGACCATTCCTTCCAAGATTTTCCAAGTGTATATTATGATATATCTCTCCCTCCTGCGTTCCAACGAGTACAAGTCAAGTGCTTCCAAGCGTTCCCAGTAGTTAAGGTGCTTGACAGAACTTATACGTGCAGTAAAGGTTCTCTGGACACTCTAGATCTGCAATTTCACCTGCTTTGAACGGAGATGTTAATGTACGGCAGTATTCCAGCCTAGAGAGAACAAGTGATTTGAAAGAGATCATCGATGGCTTGGCATCTCTCGTTTTGAACGTTCTCATTATCCATCCTATCATTTTCTTTGCGCTTGTGATCGTGGCACTGCTGTGATCCTTGATTATAATCAAAAAGAAGCGTTAAGCCACAAGGGCTATACAGCGCTGCTGTGATCCTTGAAAGTGAGATCCTCAGACATTACTACTCCCAGGTCCCTTACATTATTTTTCCGCTCTATTGTATGGCCAGAGTTTGTAGTATACTCTGTTCTAGTTATTATCTCCTCCAGTTTTCCATAACGGAGTAGTTGGAATTTGTCCTCATTGAACATCATATTGTTTACCGTTGCCCACTGGAAAACTTTGTTTATATCTTCTTGAAGGTTAACCGTGTCCTCAATAGATTACAGCCTCATTTTTATTATATAATCAAAAAGAAGCGCTAAACCATGACAGCCTCGTGCAGATCCTAGTATCATCTGCAAAGGATGAAAGATACAGATGGAAGATACAGATGGAAGAACGGGGGTATTGGTCGATAAGAGGCAAATGCACATTAAATAAGTGTAAATAAAGAGCGGGGAGGGGGAAGCAGTTGAAGGGTGAAAAGGAGGAAGCCCATTATGTGACTGACGAGAGTCGAAAGGAATAGATAAAAGCGCTAAGCCTCCATGGGTCAGGGCTACCGAGGTGTATACAGTATCCACTTGCAAGGACTTTAGGAGAGTGATGTGCGAAATAACTGGTGTAGTCTGAAAGTGCTTCAAATGTAGAGCATTAGGAGAGAAGAGCAGTGAGTGTGTGTCAGAGTTCAAGGTGTATTGTGCGGCCTTTCCTGTTATAAAGGACAATTTATCAGTGTGTTGGTCATTAACTTTACAATCCTCTCAGAGGTGCTTGTACTCTGCCAGCTGGAATAGCGAGGATAGACCCCCCTTACCCCCCCCCCAAAATACGACAAAGTACTAAATTACCGAACTTGTTAGAGGGACGAGGGGTGGAAAGTTAAATTTCCTCAGCGCTGTTGCTAGAGATATCGAAGTCTTATTATAATGAAGGGGGAAGCGCTAAACCATAGGGTTATACAGCGCCTGTGGAAGGTATGCAGGCTTAATTCAGGGAACGGGAGCACAGATCCAATTCCCTAGAATAAGAGCCCCTCACCAGTGTCAAGGAACCTTCCTTGAGGGGACGAAGCTTTCAGATATTTTTAAACTAGTTCGAAAAAGGGCTCCCCCTACCCAGCTTCCTTCCCCCCAGTGGCATACCTGAAGGACACCTGTGATCGTCTCTGCCTTCTGATCATGTGGACAGTGTCTAGTGACCATTTAAAAGATATGTTTAAGATAAAGCCAAGGTTTCGCAAGTTCCACCATGGGATGTGTCGTCACTTTCACGGTAAATTCGGATCAAAAACTACGATGGGATAGATTTAGTTTGAATGCGAGGAGTATTTAAACCTTTACCAGACTCTCTGGTTACTTACCTGGTGATTGAGAAGCTGCAGAATATGGATCTTCCAGGCAATAAACAAAGCCTTTGGAGAGGCATTAGATTAAGCGATTTGTGGCTTTGAATTTTGTGCCGTGGGTGATGATTTGGTCTAGTCATTAAAGACATGCAGCCTGTATTCAGTTTCACAGAATACACCCTCAAGACACGTTAGCCGAAGACCTTGCACAACTGTTCTTTTGTTTGTGTAAATGTTATTCTTACAAAAGACTTCAATTGTGTACTATGGAGGGAGCCAAAATTGCTCTAGATAGTATTGTGCATTCTCATGCTAAGACTTGTTATAGCGAACTCTCGACATGTGGGGTACTTTAAAGTTGCTAACCCTGACAATATTTAAGTTTCGGTAAAAAAGCAAGACTCGTAGTCTTTAATATTAAGTTTACGTATTTCGCCAAAACAGTTGCCAAGAAAGCTCGACTGCAAGAGTTCACGGTCACTGTCTAGTATAAATACTCCAGGTATAAACTTACCACCCTGTAATTTCACCCACGTATCTTGGTTTTTCCTTCTACTGTAAACATGGGTCCTCATTATCACTGAATTTTGGAGAGTCTTACCCTTGTTTGCATTCCAGTCAAGTCACCCCACACAGTAAGGTGCTTTGAGGCCAGTGAGAGGCTCCTAATCCAAGGAACTGTTCTCTCATTGGATAGAACCCGTTTCCCCACTCCCAGGAGCTCTACGATCCACAAGGGTTTAACACAACCAAATTAAAATAATACCACAGCTGAAATTTGAGGCATGGATTGGGGCTCCACAAATTAAATATTTTCCACTTTCCTTTGATGCTAAATGCAGAGCTAAAGTTCCACACATCGGCTATGTGATGTTTAAAATATAATGTTTGCCGTTAATTTTTCTGTTTATATTTATGGCAAAGGATCGCCGACGTGGTAGTATCGGTATCGAGTTTGGGGAAACTCGCGATATTTTCATAACATGATTGCAAACAAACCGGGTGGGGTTCGAACCCCAGCTGTTCCGTGGCTTGTTTGCAATTGTGTTATTACGGTCTTACGAGTCATGATGGCGATTTTGAAAGGACTAGAGCACGCCACAGCCACCCTGGTTGGGGATTCGCCTGTAAAAATCTATTTATGGTCATGGTGGTGGCCCATGCCAACCTCCCTATGGTGCAGAAAAATCCAATTGGATGGCTGAGACAGCCGGAAAAGTGGTTAGAACATTGGCCAGAGTTTTAGAACTCTTCCTGAGTTAATACCTACAATTGGGGGTTAATATTTTAACTAACCATGTAGATAATCTGTAGGATGCAGAACCTTCAGAACTTATGATTGGTCTTATAGGACTGCCGACCCTGTGTGTTAAGAGTTCCACTAGTGTGATTTGGGGAAATTAAAATATTAGGAAAAAAGGTTAATCCAAAACAAGGGAAAAAAAATCTAACAAATGACATGGTCCAGCTATATTGCAACCAAAAATGCTCGCCGATGATCTTCCAGAGATCTCTCGCGTGTTCTCTAAATGGACAATGACCAGCGGGACAGTCTTCGTATCTAGCGTCAGCGGTATTTATGGTAAACAAGTACATGGTGAACTTTTATCTTCCCATGAAGACGCACGACTGAAGGTAAGAATTAAATCCGGCCAAGACCAGACACTGGTTCTAAAGAAGTCATTTCCAACACGGTTCCTGAGGATTCAGGTCTCGAACAGTGAATCAGAATAACGTAATCCAAGAAGGATCCCAGAAGAGAACTCCAGGATTAATTTCACCGGACATCAGTTATATTAACTGTCCTGCCACACCTGTGGGCAGAGAAAATCAGGATTACCAAAAGGAAAGTCAAAATTTGGATATTTACCCCAGTTTAGAAGGAAAGTCAGCTGATAATCAAATAACATTTCCAATACTGGATCGTGCTGCTTACGTTATTAGAAGATGCGAGTGACTAAGAACTAGTGCCTGGTCATTAAGAGGAAAAAAATGGCGCTTGTACATCACTAAATCAACTGTAGTTTCACCTTTAAATAGTTAACAGGAGGTAATTTATACATTTGGGGGGAGGGACAACGAAGTACGTAGACCCAGGCAACCACGACTGTTTACAGCATGTTGAGAATGGCATGAAAAGTCTGACAAGTTAAGACCATGGAGTTGGACTTTTCTCCAGGTTCAGGGACTGACCACCTCAAATACTATTTCTTCAAGGCTGATGGACTGATTACATCATTTCATTACTATACCTATTACCTCTGACTAAAGAATCCTACTGTCTTAATTTACTCTTACAATCACTAGAACAACAATTTGCATTTAGAAAATTTTAGATTTGTTGGCTATACCGAAAAAAATATTTTCAGTTTACCATTGACATATTACTAAATGTTTGTATAGTTAGAGTTTACGAAAAGTAAATTTATTGAGCCCTTTGAAGGTTACAGAAGTGAATCAGGAGTGAAGTGGTAAACCCTACGTCAATATAGGACTTCAACTGTTCAATTGATACAATTTTCTACCCGAACAGGTAATAAGTATCTTTGTACAACATCCAAAAGCGTTTCAAGCAGCAGTTATGCTGAAGTACAGAACGTTTCGATAGATTCTAGTCAGATTGCTTAACTGAGGTCTGGCAAATTAAGCATATTTGCCAGTAGCGTTAGGAATCCATTTTCGGTGGAACAAATTCAGAAAGTTCCAAGTGTAGTCTTGTTAAGTCGCAGTTAATCAAACCCTTCATATTCTCTAGTAAAGATCATTAAGTTTGTTATTGGATTCATTAGAAGAAACTGTGGAGGTTTGCTCTAGCTTCGTTAGTACGTAGAATTGGCAACAACACCGTAAGGATTGCAACATTCTTTCTACGGAAGAGTAATCATGAACATGGGCCAAGACATTCCATTGGTAACTAAGTTGCCTCCATTGTTAATCTTTATTGCTTCACCCTAACAAGAGGTTGTGGTCTTCACCGGTGTTCCAGAACTAGCTTTTCCCCACCTGTCTGCATCCATAACCTGTATGTGGCCATGAAGAAAATATGTTAAAACCAAAGTGCCTTGAACAGGCAAGACTAATACGAATGGAAAATGCAAAGTACCAAAATGCTAAGGGACATTTAGCTATTTGAGGGAGTATTTTCTGATACATAGGCTTAAACTTTACCAGCCTTTCAGAAATAAAGGAGTTACGCTCGCGAGTGCGTCATCATAACTACCTCTAGTGGAACGAGTTATCGCTAATCACGAGTTATCGCTAATCACTCCAGAGCCCACATTGGTGTTAATTGATGGATGGCTAAACAAGTCATTACAAGACAATTCAAACTAGTAATAATTAAACTTACCTATTTTCTTCAGATCCAAGTGCACTTTCATTCCACTGATTGGAGGACTGCGCGAGGCAAGATTCAGTGATGTAAAGGTCGCCAGACTCTGACGAGCTGTCCAGAGTGAGCTAGGGAGGCCGCTTCCTCCTGTAAAAAACCAGGACAAGAATAATTTGTCAAGTCCAGCTTCTTACCCACAAACTTTTTTCAAAGGTTCAGAAATAGAAGAGTGAAAATATAAAATATAGTAGCAAGCGATTTTTGCGGCGAGAGATGAGTAGTCTCGCTGCCTGACAATGAAGCGTATTTATTATAATCAAGGGGGAAGCGGTAAACCCGGAGGATTATACAGCGCCTGGGGGGGGGGATGTGGAAGGCATTCAGGCTTAATTCGGGGAACTGAAGCACAGATCCAATTCCCTAAATCAAGAGCCCCTCACCAACATCAAGGAACCTTCCATGAGGGGACAATGAAGCGTAGGGAGCCAAACAAGGGTTAGAGCTAGGCAGAGTGCTGGCACTGGGAAGTAAACTAGGCTATGAATATCTACCGCTGGATAAAACAAGTCCAGGATAAATTAACAATCTGGACACTTGTTCATAGCATCCAACTCGCGTTTGGCTCCTGAATAACGATCAAAATATTTATTTCTTCAAGTGCATGTACAACGTATACAAATATCGCAAACCTTCAAACAACTATGAGCTTCGGCTCCACCCCTGTAACCACATATAGGCGAGTATAGGCCGAGTTTTAACCGTAAATTTCAGCCTAGTAATAAAACCACGTAGCTCCTCGTAAGGTGAAGCCTCGTCCTGGTTCACCAGCACTGTCTGTAACCCACAGACTTGTGTGATCAGAGAATACCAAAAATTACCAGGACACTTTATCACTGGCTAACTGTCAAAAGACTTGCATGTCAAGTTAGACCTCGATTTAAGTTAAAAATAAAACTAGTAACCAAATATGAAGACATTAAAAAACAGCAAAGACTACCAAGCGTTGGATAAGACCACTTACGTGACCAGGAAAGACGAGGAAGGTGAAGGGAGAAATGCAATGCAATGGTCATTAAGTAAAAGAAAAAGAATATAGAAAAGATAGGAAGTATGTACTTCCACGTCAGTAAATATATCACAATGTTGTTTACATATCTGGTTCATAGATGGCGCTGATGAGCACAAACCTTTCAGTTACACGAGAACTATTTTCAGCAATATATGTCTATAACATATTTCCCTTAATCTCTCTCTCTCTTTCTCTCTCTCTCTATTATATATAATATATATTTATATATATAATTATATATATTTATATATATATATATATATATATATATATTATATATATATATATATATATTATATATATTATAATATATCTATATAATATATTATATGATATATATATATATTTATATATATTATATATATATAAATTTTAATATATATATATTATTCACAAAAATCACTCAGAACCTAACGAAAAAAAAAATGTATGTAATTGTTTGTTTATTATTAAATTATTGTAAATTTATCTAAAATATATTTAGTTGGATTATTCTAAATTAAATTGCTCTTGTTATAATAAGGTTAGGTAAGTTTTCTAAGGTTCTTTTGGCACAAAATTATTAATTTTTACATTAACATAAGTGAAAAAAAAACATATATCTTTAAACGTATAAGAGAAAATTTAGAGAGGACTTTAATTTAAATGGTTATTGCTAACTAATCATTTTTAAACTGATTAGTTATATATATATATATATATTATATATATATATATATTATATATATATATATATATATAATATATATATATATATATATTACTGTGTGTAAAATGAACAATGGTAATTTAGGTGAAATTTTACTCACTAAACAGAGCATAACGCAAATCACTCCAGACTGAACACAACAGAAACCAGATCAGATGAGATAAAACACAAATCATAACAGACTGAGCACATAACCATTCATACCAAAAAGAACGCATCACAAGTCACACCAGACAGAACACAGTACACCTCACACCAGAGAGGACACAACACAATTCCCAGCAGACAGAACGCGATAAAATACATATTAAACGCTCGGTAATGGACTGGGATTTTGGACTGCATGAAAGACTGGTCAGAGCTGCCGCCTCGCACCGTTGACTTCGCTGCCGGCATTTTGTCCACTATTCTCGTTTTAAACATTTTCATCCATGTACGAAACTGTTGTGCTGTTTGGAATTGCATCTCTTACGAAATTCATTATTACTTCCGTGTTGCTGACAATTTGTATCGGTTCGAGGGGACGTGAAGCCGTTGTTGTTTACAAATATGAGAGGGTAAGGGGAGACGGGAAGATGTAGGGAATGAAGAGTGGGAAGGAGCGGAATGTAAAAGAGTGAGAAACAGAGAAAGTAGGTGGGAGGGAAGGGAAAGAGAGAGAAGGAAGGGTGGGAGAGAGGAGAAATAAAGGAAGAGGTGTGGAGACCTCATATAACTATTTGTGATAATGGGTTGAGGGCGTAACACCGACAAAACAAGTGATTGTAACTATTCGTAACAAACCTTGAACTGGAAAACGTTTCGCGCTGCTTAAAACGAAACATCATTCCATTAACACTTCGTTCTACATATTTATGTAGGTAATGGCGAAACACTAGTCGTCACTTGCAAGTGATAGTGCATAGTCGTCACTACTGGTCGTCACTTGAAGGTGGCGGTGCAAAGTCGTCACTATTTCTTAACATTCCACCTCAAAACAGCCACAGTTTTGGAGTCTATTGAACGGTTATCACAACTGGTGGATTCCAGTTAACTGGAGGAGCAACAGACCATCAACAGATTCATCTCTTCTAAATCGAAGACACTTTGACAAAGATGTTTATATAAAGATACTTAGGCGCAGCTATTATTTAAAACGATGTTTTAATGTTACTTATGTGTTTATTGCCTATCTTTAATATATATTGGTTTATCACGAGTACACTATATTATATATAATGGAAGAACAACCCACAGTACCAAGTTATAACAATTCGCAACAAACCCACCTAGTGGAACAATTAACAACTAACCCAGATATTATTTATGGAAGCTAGATAATGTTCAATTAGCCAAGCGAAAATCTCCCAGCACGTTTCAAACCACTCCACAACACAAAGACTCGAGGTACAAAACAAACCTTCATTACAGGCCACTGTCTCTCTCTGTAGAGCTTTACATCAAGTCATGGCTTGATAAAGCTCTACACAGAGAGTAATATCAGTAATAAATCTTTCCAGGTCCCCCCCCCCTATTTTTTTTAGCTATACTTTTGGTCAGTGCCTGCCACGCAGCAGCACAGTGTAGTGTTTCATCAGCTTCAACAACAGTAATGATCACAACCCGGGCCCCCGTGGCTCCACGCTCGTGCTCGCTCATAACAAACTACAATTATCATAACTGGGATCACAACTCAACGCGGAAATCCTACTTAATGCCATTGCATTGAGGTAAACAGCGGCGGTACATCACCTCGAGGTACTAATGATGGAGATCCCAATTGATCCAAATGTTTTTGATAGAGGCAGAGATAGACTGTGTGTGTGTGTGTGTGTGTGTGTTGTGTGTGTGTGTGTGTGTGTGTGTTGTGTGTGTGTGTGTGTGTGTGCATGTGTGTGTGGTGTGTGTGTGTGTGTGTGTGTGTGTGTGTGTAACTCACCTATTTGTGGTTGCAGGGGTCGAGTCATAACTCCTGGTCCCGCCTCTTCCCTGATTGCTACTAGGTCCTCTCTCTTCCTGCTCCATGAGCTTTGTCAAGCCTCGTCTTAAAACTATGTATGGTTCCTGCCTCCACTACGTCACTTACTAGGCTATTCCACATCCTGAAAACTCTATGAAGGAAGAAATACTTCCTAAGTCCCCTTTGGCTCATAGGAGTCTTGAACTTCCAATTGTGACCCATTGTTTCTGTGTTCCATCTCTGGAACATCCTGTCTTTGTGTGTGTGTGTGTGTATAAAATATATAATATATATATAAAATATATTATATATTAAAATATATATATATATTTATTATATATATATATATACATAAATAGATAGATAGAAAAAGTATATTGAGGTCGTTTTAGAGAGGATGGAGCAATATAGAATGACTTTGGGGGGTATATAAATCTGTAGTGTAGGGGAGGAGGTGTGGGGGTTGCCCTGGGGAAAGGACGGGAGAGTGGGTAAAAGGGGTTTTTTTGTGTAAAAAGGGGGCCGGGACTGCAGCAGGCATAGGATTGTTTTAAGTCAAAGAATGGGGGGACTAAGGGTTTTTTGGGAAACCTTTTTGAATGTTGGATTGTGAAAAAGGGAAAATATATTAAAAGGGGATTCAGGGAAACCCGGTTAGCGGGAATGAGCCTGGAGGTGGGAAAGTACAATGCTTACCTTTAAAGAAGGGTTTTGAGATATTGGTGTTTGTAGTGACATCTAAAACTGTAGGGATTGGGCACCACTGCAAAGGCAGGATTATGTGTGAATGATAGTGAAAGTTTTTTTTTTTTTTGGGTCCCCTGCCTGGTGGGAGACGGCCCGACTTTTTTGAATATATATATATTATATATATATATATATAATTATATAATATATATATATATATATATATATATATATATATATATTTTCTTATTTTCAATCCTTACTTTCTTTATTCCTGTTTTTTTTTCATTTACGAGTTTTTTTTTTATTTTATTTTTTTATTTCTCGACTTTATGAAAAGCCTTTTCTAAATTCGGAATGAATACAATCAGTCTCATATTCTCCCTCTTTTTCTCCTAAATTCTCTTTGCCTCTCTCTCTCTCTCTCTCTCTCCTCTCTCGTCTCTCTCCCCTCTCTCTCTCTCTATCCTCTCTCTTCTTTCTCTCTCTCTTCCTTCCCCAAATTCTCGCTCTTCAATTCTCCCTTCCCTGTTCCCCTCACTCATTTTCTCACCAGTTTCCCCAGACTGTCCCTCACCAACTTCCTTATCCACTCTCTCACCCACTCCCTTGTCTAGTCCCTCACCCACTCCCTTATCCACAAGCTCAATCATTTCACACGCCATTCATTCTCTCGCTTCTTCACTCCCTCACCCATTCACTCACACCTTAAGTAATAAATCTTGGAAGATCATCAAAGGCTATGCGGATCCAGAAGCATTGATTCGACACCAGTAGACACAGACAGGTGGGTACAGATTAAATGATTGCATTATCCATCCGTCGGTCACTTCACTCAGCAGCCATCCACTCCCACCCAGGAGTAACGCAAAGATTCCCCCAGCTACTTTTCAGTTGCAACCCGGAGTCAATTACGAACAGTCTGTTCAGCCAGGGGTATGTCCCTCGTGAACCATCCCCTCCCTCAGGGGCCACTCACGAACTCACAAGAGGTTACTCACGTATGTCCCTCGTGAACCATCCCCTCCCTCAGGGGCCACTTACGAACTCACAAGAGGTTACTCACGTATGTCCCCGTGAACCATCCACTCCCTCAGGGGCCACTCACGAACTCACAAGAGGTTACTCACGTATGTCCCTCGTGAACCATCCACTCCCTCAGGGGCCACTCACGAACTCACAAGAGGTTACTCACGTATGTCCCTCGTGAACCATCCCCTCCCTCAGGGGCCACTCACGAACTCACAAGAGGTTACTCACGTATGTCCCTCGTGAACCATCCACTCCCTCAGGGGCCACTTACGAACTCACAAGAGGTTACTCACGTATGTCCCCCCGTGAAAACCCTTTCCCTCCTCAGGGGCCACTTACGAACTCACAAGAGGTTTCTCACGTATGTCCCCGTGAACCTTTTTCTCCCTCAGGGGCCACTCCGAACTCACAAGAGGTTAAATCACGTATGTCCCCCGTGAACCATCCCCTCCCCCAGGGCCATTACAACTACAAGAGGTTTCTACGTTG